ATCAATATATCAATATATCAAAATAATCAATATATATATATATACATAGAACCAAATACACACACACACATATATATATATATATATATAAAAGCAACGTGCAAACAGACATAATAAGTGGGCACTGTAGGCCTTTATTGATATATCTTATACACGTATAAACAATATATATACAAATAAAAACACAAGTGGTATATAATATTATATATATACATGATACACTCACACACACAGAGAGACACAGGCACAGACACAGACACAGACACACACATATATATATACATATAAATAGCGTCTAAACATACCTATTAAGGGAACACTGTCCTCTACGAACGAGGCTGTAGATAAAAATGTGCCGTCACCACCTGCCGACAAAACCGCGTCCACCCCTTCCACATGGCTCTTATTTAAGTCCCCTACGCTTACTATCTGTGTGTACATCCATATAATCAAACGTTAGGGTTTGATACTATCTGTGTGTACATTCATATATTCAAACGTTAGGGTTTGATACTATCTGTGTGTACATCCATATAATCAAACGTCAGGGTTTGATACTATCTGTGTGTACATTCATATAATCAAACGTTAGGGTTTGATACTATCTGTGTGTACATTCATATAATCAAACGTCAGGGTTTGATACTATCTGTGTGTACATCCACATAATCATACGTCAGGGTTTGATACTGTCTGTGTGTACATTCATTTAATCAAATGCTTCGATTTATGTACGTGATCTAAAACAGGAATATTCGGTGTATGTGGTTGTCTATATAAGCGTATAAGCACGATTTTAACCTGAAAATACTTCCGTTCAACATATATCAATAACATTCCCTTCAAACAACCACCTACATTTAAAAGGCAATTGTAACATAAGAACAAATTTTAACCAGTGCATCCAATAATTTAAAATATATTCATAACACCCGTGTTGAACAACCACTCACATTCAAATGGCATCCATAAAATAACACAAACTAAAACCCTTTCACACTCCCATTCCAAATATATTCATAACATCCCTGTCGAACAACCACTCACATTTGAATGGCAAGGCAAAAAAACACAAACTAAAACCATTGCATACTTCCGTTCCAAATATATTCATAACACCCCTGTCGAACAACCACTCACATTCAAATGGCAAGGCAAAATATCACCCTTGCACACTCCCTATTCAAAGACATCGTCAGCACTCGTTTCAAACAACCACGTACATTTAAATGGGAACGGTAACATACGCCAAATTCTAACCCATGTACACTCCCATTGAACAAACATCCATAATACCACTCACATTCAAATGGCATCCATAATATCACTCACATTTAAATGGCATCCATAACACCACTCACATTTAAATGGTATCCATAACACCACTCACATTTAAATGGCATCCATGACCACTCGCATTTAACAAACATCCATAACACCACTCACATTTAACAAACATTCATAACCCCACTCACATTTAACAAACATCCATAACACCACTCCCATTGAACAAACATCCTTAACACCACTCCCATTGAACAAAATCCTTAACACCACTCACATTTAAATGGCATCCGTGGCGTGTGAGTATGTCGATCATTGTATCTACGTACCGCTGATGGATGTCGTGGCGGGTCTTTAAGCTTTTGTACATACTACCTCGCATATTAAGTGACTGTGGGAGGGAAAGAGGACAATCACACATTATAACACTATATAGAAAGATGTATCAATGGATTATATATATTCTCACAGAATAAGTGACTGTGATGAAAGAGGGTAGACACCAGCCATAGCACTTTAGCCACAGATGTGTAGCATTTTCATGAACGCAGATGTTTTGGTCGATGCACATGGCCGTCTTGTACCGAACTGCACGTTTTGGGGGAACGGCTCATTGAAAGTGCAGAAACAAATTTGGGAGAGAGATATCATGATAAATAACGAAATGGTGGACAGGGGTTGATAGGTGTACAATGGTAGTAAAACATGGTGAGGGAATGGGGAGCGAGTTTAGGGTTAAGGGTTCAGGGTTAGAAGATTATTAGGGTTCTACCAAAACAAGACTTCAGCGCTTTAGGTACACGGATGGATGGATAGATGGGTTACGGCTTGTGGTACTATACTATACCGGACCCACATATACAAACGTATACGTTTGTACCTACGACACGTATAAATGTATAAATGTGTACTTATGACACGTATAAATGTATAAATGTGTACCTATGACACGTATAAATGTATAAATGTGTAAATGCGACACATATACACGTATAAACGTGTAACCACGACACACACGCGAACACGAACGATTCACGCACACGGCAAGTAAACGTTCGCAAGCTGGACAGGCCATTCACACACATCTGTCCGCATACTGCGCATGTAGGTACGTCCATAGCTACCCCCAGCAGCGCTACTACCAGCACCATACCTCTGCCAGTTCGGTATCCGACATCTCCGGATGCCGCACTTTCTCGTAGGCAAAGCGTGAGAGTTTAGTAACAACTAACAGATTGATGAGTTTGAGGCCGTCCTCGGGTGCCTTGACATCGTAGTTGGTCGCCATTGTGTGCTGAGACCGGTGTGATGTATGCCGTAGTGGTATGGCCCCGTTGTTGCCTGGGTGGAGATTGGAATATAGTTTAAATATGTATAAATATATATATATGTATACAAACAAACACAGACACAGACACACATACACATAATATATATAGATATATATATGTGATATTGTATCTACATTATATGTATATGACCGTCAGAATAGGCGGTTACACGATCTAGTGATGTCGATATACTATAATCTATAATTGCAGTATGTGGCATATCCCTAATACATTTTATCATGGATTTCCTAATGTTAAGAACGAAATAATGTGCAGGAAAGGATCCAAACATGAAAGATCAAATTGTTCATATATTTACATACATACAGACATACATGCACAAACACACACACACACACACACAC